GGGTTTTATTTTCCATCATCCATTTTGTGTAGTATGCACGCTCCTATGCCATAGGCACTGGCATCGCTTGCAACTATAATATCACGCTTGGGATTATAATGTGCCAGAAACAAGTCAGACGTTAATATATCTTTAATTTCCTGAAATGCTTCTTCGCACTCTTGCGTCCAGACCCATTTTTGGTCCTTCCTTAACAATTCATTTAAGGGTGATCTTAGTTTATGCATATTTGGCACGAATACATTGTAATAATTCACCAACCCTAAGAAACTTTGTAGATCGCAATATTTTTTTGGAGCAGGCATGTCCTTATTGCACTTGATCTATCTGGATCGGCCTTCTTCCATGTTCATCGATAATTTGCCCCAAGTATTTTATTTTTCCATGAAAAAGGTACATTTTCCTGTTTCAGTTTAAATCCATAATCCTGGATCCTTTTGAATACTTGGTTTACATGAGCTTTGTGTTGTTCTTTGCTAGCGCTGTTCATTAACACATCGTCCAGGTACCCTACTGCAAGTCCAGCCCATAACATCATGTCCATTGTTTGCTGAAAAATCACAGGGGGCGACTTTGACCCCAAAAAGGAAGTCTGTTAAACTTGTATAATCCCTTCTGGGTATTGATGCATAGCAGCTTTGAACACTCCTGATCGACTGGGATTTGTAAATACGCATCACTGAGGTCGATTTTAGAAAAATATTTCCCCCCCACTCAGTTTTGCGAATATTTCTTCAGGGCTTGGAAGGGGATAATGGTGATCCTTTAATGCATTGTTTAAACCTGTTGAGAAATCGGCACAAACCCTAATCTCCTTGCTCTTCTTTTTAATGTAAACTGTTGGCGTAGCCCACTCACTGTGATCAATTTTTTCGAGGACACCCATGTTTTTGAGTCTTTCTAATTCACCATCTGTTTGTTCTATAGCGGCGTATGGAACCTTTCTTTTCTTTTTGAACACTGGCTGTTCATTTTCTTTGACTTCAAATTTTGCTACTGCTTTTGTACACCTTCCAAGACCACCTGTAAATACGTCTGGAAAATTCTCTTTTAACTCCCTCTTAAGTTTTTCTGCCTCCATATTCGAATCCTCAACTTTTTGACAAAAAGAGCTTAAAGGCAGGTCCCATAGTCTAAATTTTTCGAACAGATCAGTTCCAAAGAGGTTATTTGATTTTCGCTTTTTCGGTCTTATTCTGAAAAAAAATATTCGTCAATAATTCTCCTTCGAAGGTGATTTTTTTCACTGACTCTTCTTGCCGTTTTATGTGATTTAATCATAGTGGGTCTCCCAAGCTTCTTCCATGTCTGTATATTAATGATGGAAATATCAGACCCACTATCAAGCTGTAGTCTTACTTTCTTTTTAAACATTTTGACCTGTACAAATTTCCGGATATTTCGTTCCTCAGGTTCAATTTTCGTTAGTTTAATGGATGTCTTCTTTCTACCAGATTTTTCCTACAATGTGATGCCTTATGCCCCTTCTGGTAGCTGTTGTCACATTGTTTGAATTTGTAGGGACACTCATTGTACCAATGTTTATCTCCACACCTCCAACACGGTCCAGGTGGATCTTTTCCCTGTTTTTTCCTCTGGTTATTTTTTGAAGTTAAATTTTTCTTCTGATGGACCTTTTTAATGTGTGACACTCTGCTTTCCTCTATGTCACGACTCTCCTGTTTCAACGCAACAAACCGTTCAGTCTTCCGCTAAGCTTTGTAGTTTTAAATTCGGCTCATTTTCGAGTTTATTTAAAACACGACGTCTGATCTCAGCGTCTTTACCTAAAACCAGCCCTTGCACAAATATTAAACATTTAAAATTATCTGATGATAATTCCTCCAGTTTAAAGTCGTTGCAATGCTTGTTTACAATACTTGCATAAGTAGTGTAATCATCTTCCTCTCTTCTAGTGACATTCATACACTTATATTTCCTGTGAAAAAGAGAAGTTTTTGTAGAAAACAGTTCTGTTAGTAGAGTAACTATCTCTTGAAAGTTCAACTCACTGGTCTTTTTTGGAAGGATAAAATTCACGAACTTTGTATGCTCGGCAGTTCCCAATTTTCTTAGCAGAAACCTAACTTTTTTAGTGTCTGTCCATGTACCGCAATCCGATACAAAAATATCCTCATATCTTCTATAGAAATGAGCAAACGTGACATCGTCTTCTGGATTATAATTGAAACTTTCAATAGCGTTCCACACAGCCGTCTGGGAGAATGCGTTATGATTCTCGCTTGCATTCATTAACTGTGTTGCCTCCAGAAGTTTCCTCTGTTCCTCCTGTGTTTTCATAAAGATTTGTTCGACGCGTTTCTGTTGTTCCAACAACTCTTTTTTAAATTTCTCCTCACATTCAAGTTGTCGTTGAAGTTGTTGCTTTTGCAACGCGAGACTTTGTTCCGTTTGAAATTTAAAAAATTGAAGAAGAGACTCTCTTAATTCTGCGTCCATGATACGAATTCAATTTACGCACCATACAGTTTACACTTGTATTAAACAAATCAGTTTTCCCAAGGCTTGCTTACTAAAATTAGTTTGCTCAACGAATACACAAACAAGAAATATGTATTTCTTGTAAAAAAAACAAAAAAAACCCGTCGCTTTAAGGAGTGTTGACTAACGGGAAAGTCACAAAAATTTTTTCCAACCTCTTTGTGGTTTTGCACAAATATGACTCGAATTTTTAACAGTCTTTGTTAAGCACAAATGACTTACGCGAATATATATTTTTCACTCGACAAATCATTTAACTTTGAAGAGGAAAAAAAAAAAAAAATCTTACCGTGACAAAAAAAACAGTGAACCTCTTTTTTTTTTCAAAACCCTTGGTGTCAGTATTTTCAACTATAATTGACAATATTATTACGTTCTCACGCTGTAGACTTTTAGTAGCAAATTTTTGGTTGTTTCTAATTTTTTTTTTTTTACGTCATATTAAATTACTATTGTAGTAATTAATTTGCTATTAATCCTTGCGTATCCACATATCTGTTTGAAATGACGATGGTGTTTTGCCATAAAAATCTTGCGAATCCTTGTATTTCAATCACTTTAGGTGATTGTCTGCAGTGATATCGTTTCGATTCGACGTCGCCAATCTGTTGTGTTATTGGCACAATAGTAAAAATAAGAAAATCAAGTCGAAGTTGGTTTAAAGAACAAGTGTATTTAACATCACATACAAAGGTAGGAAACGGGTACTACTCAGCTAGGCAGTTGTAGTACTGTCGCTGCTTACACCGGGTAGGTATTACTGGCACTATATATAGTGAGAACCAGTGTAATTCCCTTGTAGGCTGGTGCAACAATAACCATTACACTCACTGCACACCCACTTCAAGCATTTATTGATAGATGATACTGGATTTTTGAAACCACTTCTCCAGAACTTGAGTCGTCTTAATGAACTTATTATTGTGAGACAACAATGGGTACTGTTGCTTTTGTTTGGATTTATTTTGATACATAAATATTTTTATATATTTTACTTCATTTTTAAAAAAATATATCATGTTTTGATATATGTCTTTTTATATAACTTGCATTTCCTGTCATACAAGACCCCTACCACAAAAATCAAACTGGCCCTTTATTTTCAATTGTGGATATTGATTTTCTCATATAATAAATAACAAAACTTCACATCTTTATAAAATATCATTTTGTCATGGTTTTAATAAGGAAAAAGATTTAATTTAGGGATAATGTACAGAGTATTTTTGGCCATGCTTATAAATAAAATAAGATTAAATGTTATAAAACTGAAATAACCAATTATGTGAATTTCTATTATTGCAGTCATAAGGCCCAACTGCAATCAGTTAATCAAATATTTTTTTACTAAAAAAAGAATGCAATATAATCAGTCTTGAAATTTTCATTTTTTTTTTTTTTTTTTTTTAACTATAGCAAGAATCTTTTTTCACTTTTCTCTTGTCTTTGATGATGAAATAAAATTCACATTGTATATGTTTTGTTTTCTATACAGACATCATCCACCTTCAGTTATATATACATTTCCTCATAGGTGTTCACAAGATAAGCTTTTAGTCTTTGTTTATAAATGTAGTGACATAATATTCATATATGACAGACATTCTTATTTCTATCAATGGACATTAATTTTAAGGTAATCCGGTAAGTTGCCTGCCATTTGAGATTAATAACTAAAGACTAAATCATTAGTTAAAAGAAAAACATAAATTAATAAAATTTGCTTATAAAAATGCAAGAACAATAAAAAGCTTAAAATGAAATAGTATTGTTCCATTAGACTTTGCAGGTAGCAGTTAAATTTTATATCTTCAAAATTGTAGTGATATAAGTAAACTAAAATTTGTTAAAGACTAAATATGTTAGTATTTGCAGTGAGCACAGTATCTTGGAATGAAAGAAAAAAAATATTAACCTATCAAAATTGCATGCAATATTTATAGTTTAACATTATTAAACATGTAACAATATTGCAAAAATTGTCAAATTGATCAATTTGTTTTCTGTTGCTCTCATTAGACGAGATAATTTTTGTACCAGTTTGTTATATATGTGGAGGCTTTAAAATGTTAGAATGCTCATTTTTCTGTTTATTTATAATTGGTGATGTAATATAAATACTATAAATGTTTGATTTTAAATTCCACATTTTATCCAAGGGTAAATGAGATATTGTACCACGTCCATATGTTTTTTATGTCAGCCATCTTAACATGAATTTACTGTCTTGATATAGAACAAGGGATATCTGGTTTAAAATTAACAGAAGTATGGAAGTAGACTTTCTGCAAGAAATTCCAAACGACATTTTTATTGGAACAAAAGCTGAAGACAAAACACACTTTGGGTTTAGATATTTCATTGCTGTAAATGTAATGAGATTCAGATAAGTTTGCCAGCCATATTGGGAATGATGATAAAAATGTTATGACTGGTGATGCACCAATGTCTTGAAGCAGCAGATATTAATCCTTTCTTTGTTAGAATCTTGGATGGTATTAGTTAAAGCAAGTTACACTTTTGCGTCGACGGCCATGATGGGGTGTTGTAATAAATTTATCCTGAAGGAGTTCACTAGCTGTCGGTCTTTTTGCAGGGTCCCTGCAAATATTAAAAAAAAAAAAACATTATGTTAAAAAAGGAAAACTAGTCTAAAATGAAAATTTTACAAGGAATTTTACCACCATTAAACAGAATATACTGATACAGAAAACTCCATTTTACCAACAAGAAAATATATATATTTATGATAGGACAGTATCTACAGTTCTGTGTTTGATGGAGAACAGAAAATAAATATTTAAGTAAGCTACTCTCCCATAATGACATATCCTCTGAGGGTGAATTTTAACTCACTTCCTTTTTCCATATATTGTAATCATTTTGCTTAAAGTTTGTATTTAATTGATTACAGATGAAAACTTGGAAATTTTCTCTTTTCAAAATTATAATTTATAAGACTAGTTTAAACTGATGCCGCGCCTCCCCCAATATATTTAAACTGGCATTAGAAGGATTTGGGTTAAAACATTAATTAAACAGATAAAACTACATAAGTATGTGAATAATGGATCCTCTGACTTATGACTAATTTTTATTGTCATGAGGTCTTAGTGTGACAGAGAGAGAGAGTCTGGAAAACACACACACACACACATATATATATATTTTTTGAAATTGGAGTAGATTTGAATAGCAAAATTAAATCAGCGCATTTTGTTTACTGATGGTGGAAATTTGATCTAGGGCAGAAGTTGTATCCATTGAATCTGGGTCATCAGTAGACAATGGAAATGGTTGAAATAATTTTTATCGATTAAAAATTAAAATAGAGCTGAGTAAGCTAGAAGGAACTTTGGAATTCACATGATTTTGGTTGAAGCAGCCTGGTTTATCTATATAAATGCGTAGTTATGCTGAAAAACACAAACGGGAGAAAATTCTTGAAGAGAGAATTGGCTTGGGTGAGCGTTGGGAGGAGGAACGCCACTATAACTTTAAGCCCTGCACAGAAATCTTTATCCCTCCATCGCAAGAGTCATATATCATTCTGAGACAATTTAACAAGATAAATCACATATACTCACTCTCTCTCTCATCCAGTGTATGAGGTTTTTTTTTTTTTTTTTTTACTTTTCTGTAATCCGTTTCTCTTAACTATTCTTTTCTGCTATATAAAAGACATTACCAATTCAACGATTGAATCAATGTTTGTCCGGCTTTCTGCAGATATTAATTTTTATTTTTTTGCTGCATTCTAAATTTCTTAGCGCAGACTCCCCAGCCGTGTCTTTCATCTTCAGTCGACCATGAATGGACGGACATCACTTCTGCTTTCTGGATCAAACAAATCACAACGTGGGCAGGAAGCAGAATTAAACCAGTGGACCGCAGGAAGCACAATTAAACCAGTGGACCGGTCGAATAATCTACGGATGCTCATGGGACATATGGCAACTGCCTTAAGTTTGGTTAGAACCAAGTAGACACCTCAAACCCGAGAGTAATACACTGGAGGTTGAGGGGCCGGGGCAAAAGTGTTAGACTGGTGCCTGTTACCAAGATAGACCCATGTGAATTACCACGGCCGTCTGAAAGAGGAGAGAAGGTTGTATTTGTTTTGTCCAGACCAAGTAATCAGTTATAATCAGTTATGTGCCATGCGTGATACACGCCTTGGCGATCATGTATCTTTCGATACATGACTGACGAGGCAGATTTTTTTTCCCGCAGTAGGTTAGGGTTTCTTTCTGTGGTAGACCAACTGCCACCCAAGTCTACAGAACCCGGTCTGTCCTGCTAAATAGCTGAGGGGAGAAGATTAGACAGATTATATCTGAGGAAATCTACATTGGTAGAACCTGAAGGGTTAGAGACAGAGTGAAAGTGAAGGGAGGGAGGAGATTGAAATTAGCCCAACTACTCTTCGATGGCTGAGGGAGGCAAGTCGAACCCCAGCGGGACATTTTGAGGAAGTAGGGATTGAGCCTAACCTTAGGGAAGAAGAAGAACTGAGTGAATGGGAAGAAGAGGATGAAATTCCATTAGCTCAATTGCAGGCTGAAAAAGCACCTAGTGTTAATGAAGAATTACCACTAAAACTGCGATTAACGGGGGGGGGTCCGAGCCTAAAGATTAAATGAAACCAGTACAGTGGCTGTGGTGAAAGAGTGATGGTATGGGACTAACTGTGCATTTATCATCGGTGCTGGTGAACTGTGTGGATGGGCTCCATGCATGCACGGCGCTGGTGGTGGTGTGGGTTGGTGCTTGAGGTATCGCTCTAAGATGTAACCACCCAATAAAATCAATAAGAGAATGATTGAGTAAGATGAATTATTCTCTCTATCTCCTTGCAGACATGGACGAGAGGAGGCTCATGGTACTGACAATGCTAGTTGTGGTAGCTAATACCTGGGAACACAGTGAGAATACTGTAGTTAAGAAGACTAGCAAAGTGATTATAACTAGATCAAAGCGGTTGATAATTTTGGTGATAGACCTGCAGCTGTATGAGAAGTTACTGGGTCAGTTAAAGACCGAAGTGGACAAACTAGATACAGCCAGGAAACAAGTCGCCGGAGAATATTTACAGACTCCGGAATACCACTGTATATATACCCCTTAGCTCAGTAATACCTAATACTTGAGAGACAATAGAAGGATATGAGTTACTATTTGAAAGGAATAAAGTTGTTATGGACCAGGCAAAAGAGGGCAGTATTACCTATAATAGGAAAGGCATTAAGTGTGTTGTTTGGTACAGTCTCTGAAGATGAAGTGAGAATAATTAAGAGGAAATTAAAGGTGGTAGAACAGAGACAACAAGCAATGGCTCAGTTGGTTAGAGTAGGCCTATCCATACTCAATGTTACTAGGCTGGAATTGGCTAAGAATAGAGGGAGTATTAATTGGTTGATTTCTCACCTACAGGTTTTTAGAAAAAGAAGTGATAAATGTAACCACGTCTGTAACAAACCTAATTACAGAAATTAGAGGGTTTTTTGCAAAAGGTATTTTCAATTATTAGCTGTAATGAGTAAGGTAAGTAAAACAAGTCGCTCTTTAACAATGTTGTTAGAGCATGTGAGAGCACAATTAGACATGCTGTTGCTGGGACACCTGTCTCCAAGTATAATAACTCCAGAACGATTAAGGGAAGTACTACTTGAGATACAAGCCAAACTACCCCATCATCTTAGATTACCTGTAGACCCCACCCAGCAGTTATGGCGTTATTATACTGCCTTGGGATGTACTACCTTGTTGTAAGATGACAAATTGCTAGTGCTAGTACTGGTTCCATTACTAGACAGAGATAGTACCTTTGGAATTTATCAGGCGATGAATCTTCCCCTTCCCTATCCAAAACTAAGGCCGAAGATGGGAGTGGTGGCTAGGTACAAGGTAGAGATGGAATTTGTTGTCCTAAACCTAGCCATGACAGAGTTTATGCTATTAACAAAGGGAGAAGCAGAAAAATGCAAGAATGATGCCTTAGGGTCTGTAAGTCCAATTTATGTGACGGGTAGTCATAATCTGTGTGTACTAGAGTTATTTAAGAAAAATAAGAAGGGAATTAGAGATCATTGTCAGGTAGAGGTGTTGGCTAGTGTAATGTTACCTAAAGCAGCCAGTGTCTGTGATGGAATTTGGGCAGTAGCCACACAAGAAGAGATCGAATTATCTAAGGTGTATGAAGGGATGTCCCCCACTACAATAAGAGTTATTCTCCCTTTGTTTTTCGTAGAGTTACCCATTGGTTGTGGAGTTCATGGTCCATCTAGCTCTTCCCCGACGACGATTTAACAAGATAATGACATACACTCTCTCTCTGTCTAGAATCCAGTGTATGAGTTTTTTTTTTACTTTTCTTTTCTGTAACCCGTCTTCTCTACTATTCTTTTCTGCTATATAAAAGACATTACCAATTCAACCATTGATGTTTGTCCGGCTTTCTGCAGATATTAATTTTTTTTTTGCTGCATTCTAAATTTCTTAGCGCAGACTCCCCAGCCATGTCTACATCTTCAGTTGACCATGTATGGATGGACATCACTTCTGCTTTCTTGATCAAACAAATCACAATGTGGGCAGGAAGCAGGGTTAGACCAGGGGACCTATGGCCACTCCCTTAAGTTCAGTTACGACTGAGTAGACACCTCAACCCCAAGAGTAAGATGCCGGAGGTTGAGGGGCTTGGGCAAAAGTGTTAGATTAGTGTTATGTAATGATCATATATAGACAAATCTGATTACAGTCTTGAAATGTAGAGAACGGTGATAAATTTACCAGAAGAGAGCATGGATGGCTTTCTGTAGCCAAATTGTAAAACCATTTAAGTTCAGATTCTATAAACTAGTAAAAGAAGTAACCATTTGTAGTTAACTCATTTAGGGCTGTCATCTGCATGGGATAGATAACCTTTCCCACAAAATACATGTCTTATTTTCCAGTTAATTATATTCAATCTTGTCTCTTGAAGGATCCAATGAAAGCAAAGAACAATAGAAGAATTCCAGAGTACTCTTTCCTTTCACAAAAAAATTAAAACATTCAGTTGATTGTTCTTGTTATTGACTACCTTTGATGTTAATGAGGAACACAAAGATAAGATTTACCTGATCAGACAAACACGAACAAAATCTTGAGCCTTTTGGGAAAACTCTGATGGCAAGGCTGGAACAGGTTTGGAAGAACAAATAGCGAAAATGGCCGCATATGGATTCATGTCACTCCTAAATGGTGAATAAGGACAAACTTATTCAATTATTTCTGAATAAATTCAAATTTATTAATAACAACATGAGATAAAATTAGAAAATATAAATATATATATAAAATATATATATATATATATATATATATATATATATATATATATATATATATATATATATGTTAGAATTAAAGATATTTGTTCAATTTTTGTTACTATTGTCCAGGAAAAGAAATTTTTTTTTTATCTATGCCTGCTATAATCATGCTTTTTCTTTTACAACAAACCCCACAACTTGATTTAGAGTTTAGAGCTAACACTAATCTAATAATGAATTAATCAAATTCAATTTGATTGATTTGAACACAAGCCACTGCATTCTACTATAATTGTTATCTGATAAGAACTCTTTAACCTGCCAACCTGTAACCATTTACTGACTCACTATTCCTGGACATCGTGAGTAAATTCCTTTATTTCAGAACTGCTTCTATAACAGAACAAATCAGCAGTGAAGACTAGTAAATGGACAGTACTTTTTGGGATGCCATTTTCTATTTTACACAATGACAATGGTGACAATGACAATAAAACTCATCCAATATTTGTACAGATAAGTTTCAAATTATTTGCAGAAGGATGCAACTATTAGATTTACTCTATGACTAAACATATGGAGGATTACTCCACTGAATACTATATTTCAAGCTAGAAATTTTCAGAGGTTAAAACTGAGGTATATGCTCTTACTAGTCTATTGATATTATGATTAAGCATAGAAGTGATGTACTCTGGGGTTAACAGTACCTCAGGAAATTAAATGTGGAGTTGCTTTTCATGGCAAAGCAATAAAAACATTCATGTACGTTACTTGAAAATCAAGAATTTTTTTTTTTTTAAGTGTAGTTATAAAAATTTATCTTGTGGAGCAGTCCAAATTAATCTGAAAGAAATATTAGTGATTACTAAACAATTCTGATAATTGGCAAATTGCCATTTTATTAAACTTATAAATTCTTGAGTGAGTTTTATCTTATATTCTTTCAGTATCAACAGAAGATATTGGATGAGAGGGTGTTGAAAAATTCATGGCCCAACCAACAAAACTCACCAAATAATTCTGTTTTGTCAGATTTATGGAAGTGGACTGGGCCAAAAACTTTTCAGCACACCTTTATAAAAATATCAGTTATTTTCAAGCATAGTTTCAAAGTTTGATTTTTTTTTTTTTTTTTTTTAAAACTTACCAAGGAGGACTTTTTGTTGCCATTTCAAACACAGTACAACCAATACTCCTGAAAAAGACAACAAAGCACACTAAATGAGTTCATTATTTTTAGTAAATATACAGTGTGATTGAAAAGTAACTTCCTATTTTATGGATGATTGCTTAACTATAATTTTTATAAGACGGGAGAGTCCATCATATATATAATAGGGAGTTACTTTTCAATTGCTTTGCATTATCAATAATAACCACATTTATATTTTGTAAAAAATAATAAATAGATAATTATTTACACTATTTATATTCAGACTATTTTCCTCATCTTTGTTGTGCCCTTTGGCCTGTAGGGTTTCCTTCAGGGAATTTTGAACTGAACCCTTTATTTAATCTACAAGGGCAGACTCTTCTCATTCCACTGCTCATGTCTATCTTCTAGTTCTGAACATTTATTGCTCACCTGTTTCTACTGAGTGCAAGTACATACTGCTCGACCTAGGAATTGAACTCATCAAATTCACAAACCAATGCTTTTATCCACTAGGCCATTGTCCTGTAGGACAATTTACTGTAGTAAACTTAGAGCATTAAACTTAACCTAGCTGTTGATTAGGTTGAATCTGCTGTTGCCTAATTTTTTATTGCTGTTGTGGTTGAAGATTTGCTGTCATTTGTCTGTCTTTATTAGCAGCACCCATATTGTATTTATTTCTATGCTAGGCTGCCTAAGGAGGTCCTCATTGTATAGCATATGCACTGATTCTTTTGGACATCTAACTCTCCAGTATTCTCACTTCATTCCGCAAGATGATGACAACTTCATCTTTCCATATATGATCAGCCATGCTTGACTTCATTGTCGCACCTCTCACTATGACTTTCCAATGTTCCTCCAGTCTTACTTTTAGGAGACACATTTATATTTTCTGCCACAACTGCAAGAAATCAAATACACACAATTCTTGGCCATACTTGCACTCAGTGGAAACAGACAAGTAATAACTGAACAATATTAAATTGATATTAAAAATACTATATTAGATATTTGCAAGATTTTGTGTGATCTTTTCTAAAGTCTTAAGTTTTGGCATTGACTGCCTGTCCTCAGGATGTCGAATCCTAAGTCATCTATCCACATCTCTTTGAATGCTTCAATCACTGTCACATCCACATCATTTTTAATGTCTAATGGAGTGGAAACAAAGAGTACAAAACTGTTATGTAATATCAGTCCTCTTATATGGCAGTGAATATTGAATCATTTCATCACAGATGACGTGGAAACATGAGGCAACCAAGATATTGCTCTACAGAATGATGATGCGAACATCATGAACAGAACATGAGCAGCAAGAAAATTTTAAGGAAAATGGAAACGAAAAAAACACTTAGAATGAGAGAGTGTGTTGAAATGAGAAAAGAGAGCTTACAGAATTTGACACTCACAAGGACATAAGTGAAGGCAAAAAAGAGAGAGGAAAACTGAGTTACCTAACAAACTTGTATAAATGAATGACAAAGCAGGAATTGGAAGAGATTATAAAGAGACAATCATTGTTTAGAACTATAAAATATCAGAAGTTCACAATACTGACTGGCATTGAGGCATATTTGTGCTGAGCAGTTCATGTGCTGGAAATTATTTATGAATGAACCTAATAAATAAGATGTCAAATTTTAAATTACCAAAACTGAGATCCTTTCTTATAAAAAAAATAAATAAATCATTACAATATTAGATAAAGAAAAAAAATAACCATTAACAGAAGCTGTGCTAACCATATATCTGATTTTTTTCCATGTCCTGTTTCTTGAATTACTTCAGGGGCCATCCAATATGGAGTGCCTTGAAGGGAAGTTGGATTACAAAGTGAATTCTTATTCAAACTGTAGCACAAACGTTTTGCACAACCAAAGTCAACAAGTTTTATTGTACTATTGGGCATTAACATTACATTGCCACCTTTGATATCTCTGAAAAAGAAAAATAATATCAATGTAAAAAAATAAATTGTGGATAAAATGAAAATGAAACACTATTTATAGTTTAAAATATTGACAGATATAATAATACAATTACAAAACATTGAAATAAAACATGAAATATCATCAGTCACTTGACAATCCGAATGTTAAATATTTTTTATTTGTATCTGTGTGTTGAAAAAGTTCCCCTTCTTTTGTATATGTATATTTTTGTTATGCAAGATTGTTGAATGCATATGTGTATAAATTAGTAGTAGTATTAGTAATCACTATAATTACAGAAATAAGTAAATTCAGCTGAAGATGATACAAGTTTTGTAGTTATTTTAAAGAATACTAAAAGGGAAAAAAGTATAGAAATTAAGCTACAACTCAAGAGTTGAACAATGTCAAAAGTGAGTAACTGATAAAGTGCAAAAGTACAACATTTTCTTTACCAAAGACTGGATAACTAAAATTAGTTATTCAAATTTATAGAAAATAAGAAGCTCAAAACGGGCACTAAAAATTAAAATACTTTTCTAAGTTTCAATTAGTTAAAAATATATTTTGTTCATTTTATTGTGTGAATTTCTGGGTTGATTGACTTTTCATTATTTCCACTATTTACATGCAAACTATTGTCCTCATCTTTGTTGTTATCACTTGATTGCCTTCTGTTTGGATTTCTGGGATGAGGACATATTATTTATACCATTTATCTTGATAACTTTTGTCCTTTGTTGATTTTATTAAAAAGTTTCGACCATTGCACCCTCTGGCATTCGTCAGGTGTATGTTGATCAAGGTAACCTACAGAGAATTCTGAACTGAACCCTTTATTTAATCTACATGTGTAGCTGGTTCTTGATCCACTGCCAATATTTCGGGATATCTCATCTAGTTATTACCAGCAATAACTGAGCAGTATAAAGAATAAGAACAAGATGTCCCTAGCCAAGGGCAGTGGAATGAGGCAAGTTCCACTGGGTTCAGTTCAGAAGTAGGTTACCTTGATCAACATACACCTGATGAAGGCCAAAGAGCACAATGATCAAAATAATGTAATAACAACAGAGATGAGGACAATAGTCAGCATGTAAATAGTTAATGTCTGTTTTATTTAATAAATTTTGCAGGGGTTTGACCCTTCATCTTTTTTGAAGATCGTCTGCATGTGACAGAAAATGTAGCATCGTTTTTCAAGAAGTTTCACTGGTTCAAAAAATAGAAATATGAAAATTCAAATTTCAATGTCTTTTGAACCTCTACTTTGCACAAAAGTGGAACTTCATTCCTGTAGGGAAAATACATAAGGTTTGTTATATAAATATTTTTTTTAAATCAATTCACCCCAAGTAAGACAATGATGCCACTAAGATTAAAGGGGCTCCTGGGAGTGAAAGAGAATGAAAAGACAGCAAATATAGACCTTCGTGCAAGCAAAAAAAAAAAGCGGTGTTTCAAAAGGAAGATTTTTCAATTGACACTGCTATTATTTTAAACTACATTCACTCCCTCAGTAATGTTTATTTACAGGATTATAAAAAAATAATTTACCATTTTAAAGAAATAATGTGAAAAATATTTTTATTCAAAAATAAAAAAAAATACAAAATTATCAAAATATGTAAAACATTATAGAAATCTACACACCTTATAGAAGCACTAGACACTTTATACACTCAGCATATGATGATTTTATTTTAAACATTTATTTTTATTATTTCTAAAGCAAAACTACACAACCATTAATCTAATCTGTTATTCTAATCTTGTCAGGTTTTCACTGAATTTTTCCTAAAATATTCACTTGTGTCTAAACATAGCTCTTCAGGAAAGATGATGACAAAAAAAAATTACTTAAATACTTATTTAAATACTGCCTTTGGCAGTTTCCATTCAACTTCAAATTACTTCTTATTTAAAGAATTTATATAATTATTTGCAAATAGAATTTGATCCTCACTATCTCCTTACTTGTGCTAGACTAAGCTAAGCTTTGTAAATATCTACACTGGTTGGCTGGAAATGGAGTAAACATTTATTTCCTCATTTTAGATGGGAGAAGGTGCCCATTCCTGGAGATTCCTACCTTGTGGCAGCACCTTCCTCATTACAGTAAGAGAGATAGGGTGAGTGTAATATTGATGCCAACATGATAGTGGTTGCAGGGACTGGGTAAAACTTTTTGTCCTTGGTCTATATGTGTGTGTATGATACTCCCACTTAAAAATGACCTTGTATCATATCCTGCCATAGTGAAGCCAGGTAAATATACCTGACAGCAGATGAGTCATGTCAGCTCCTTCTGATAAATTTGTCTTCTACTGGGTGCACCACTTAAAATGGTTCTGTACTAGACGAAAGGTCCCGTAAATAAGAATCTTTCTGATAGGGAAAAGCTGATGATTATATTTTATCCAAATACAAATTAAATTAAAATACATTTGATGTACCAAATATTTCTATTATACAATCTAGTTATATACGTTTTCTCATTTATTTTTTTTAAGAAAAAAAAAATCTTATTTAATATAAATTAAATATTAATATGCTAGATGGAGGTCCACACAACGAAACAATTTTAGAAAGCTGAATATGATTACTTTATTATCTCCCTTACTCTTGTGTCGATCTTTATCATTCTCATACAACTATTGAATTAAAAAATTTTTTATTGTCTTTAAAATAGCTTTGAATCTAACTCAATACTTGTCAATAAAAACGTATTAAAAAAACAATTTGAAAAGATTACTCATTAAAATTTATTTTGTGTTATATAACATATCTAAAAGAAAAAAATAAATACAAAACTTTTATCTTATGTGGTTGTTTATGCAATCTCTTAGGAAACTACTTGAGGTTTAGTCACTGATCCATTGCACTAACCTATGGATTACATTTCTGTCATGAAGGTACTTGACACCTTCAAGTATTTGTTGAGTATAGCTGCAAAACACCGGTTCATCTAATGGACCAAATCTGGCAAGAAGTTGAGCAATGGAACCTCCTGTTACATATTGCATAAAAATGGAAACCTCTTCTCCTTCTCGACGCATACCAAGGAAACTGCAAAACGAAAAAAAAAAAATCATCAAGTTGGACACAATAGGCTTTGTGAAACAAGAAAAATGAAAAAGTAAAGCCTGAAGCTTAAGAAATAAAATAAAATAAAATAAAATAATTTATGTATAATAAGTTACAAAGTCATACCTGAAAGTGACCCAGCATTTATCAATATAATTCAATGGTACCCATCACATCCCCATTCTTCTGAGGTTGATGAATTGCTCTGCACTTACAAGTTCAAGTGTTTCATTATCTACAATTGCTAAAGTTTGGCAAATGCCACCATCAATGAAAAATACATTTATAGCCATAAAGAATTCAAAATGTTATTTTGGTGAAGTAGATTGTGTTTCCATAGAACAGGAAGATTGGTGGCCACAATGTTCATATATCAGATATGCAGATGACACAGTGTTGATAGCAGACACAGAAGGGAAACTAAGATTTCCAACAGAAGGTAATAAAGAAAAGTGAGAAGAAGGGACTAAATATCAATTGCAGGAAGACAGAATGTATGGTTGTCAACATAAGGAACAGTTCAATGTACAACTTGGAGATAAAAATCAAGCAATTGTTTTAATAGAGGACAGAAAGTGTGACACTGAAATTCCAAAGTGCAATGGGATAGCAAAAGATGCCTTCCAAAAGCTAAGCAAAGTATTAAGGAAAAGAGTAATATACTGTTATATAATATCAGCCCTCCTATATGGCTGTGAATACTGGACGATCTTGAAGAAGAGACTTGAAGTAACAGAAATATGGTTCTACACAAAGACATTGTGAATACCATAGATTGAAAATGGGAGAAATGAGAAAGTTTTAAAGAAAATGGAAACAAAAAGGACATTTATACTTAATATCAGAAAGAGACACTGGAAAACAGTGCATAACTTTACCTAACAAGTTTGCGTAAATGGATGGCAGAACAGAAATAGTAAAAAGATAAAATTTACTAAGAGCTACAAAAGGTAGGAAGTGGCAGAAAGCCATGATCACAAGGTACATGGCACATAGAAGAAGAAGAGAGAGGTGTTTAGCTATTCAGAACCACAGGTCAGTTAGATCATGTCACTTTTTAGGTTTCATATATGCAATTCAACCATCAATATGATGTGGCAAGCTGCTTTGTTGAACATAATGTGAATTTCTACATGAACAGAATCTGTTTGACAGAGAGGCTCTCCATTGTAATGTTTCAATAGAAAACCATATTCCTTCAAATGTATCTGACCTTGCAAGTAGGAGTGAATCTTGTAGAATAAAAGTTACTGATAGAAATTAAACTATTTTAATCTATATTTTATACTAAAATAACAACCAAAAATAGCTTTTATTTAATCACCACAGAAAAATCTTTTTCTGTTTGCCATCGGAATGAGAGCAACTCTTTGTGTTTTCTTAGGCTCAGGTTTTCCACTGACATGAAGTGGGGTGACTATGTTGAATCAATTGCTAGGAAAGTTGTTTCGCTGTGTCATGCCAGGCAATTTTTCTCATCAGAATCTGTCTTGCACATTTATAAATCTACCTTTTGTATGTGCGTTGAATACTGCTGCTGTATCTGGTCTGGTGCTGCTACCATAAGATATCTATAGATTCTTGACAAAATTCAAAGAAGGGTTTGTAATGTAATTGACCATGACCTGGCATCTTGACTTCAGTTATATTCTCACCTACGTTACATGATTTCCCTCTGTCCTTTTTTTACAAATATTTTCATGACAATTGTTCTGATGAGCTCTTCTTCTCAGTGCCTCGACTGAATGAATTTAAGCCTGCTACTAGAGTGGCAATTAGGTCTCATCATTTTACTGTTGAATTAGCTACATGCAACTGTATGTTTTATTCTAATAGTTTCTTTTCTTACATTTCTCACCTGAGAAACTCCCTTCCAATTTCATGTTTCCTTACCACCTACAATCTTCAAAAATTTAAATGCAATGTCAATCATCACCTTCTATCTTCCTGAGACTTGTTCCTTTACTGTTCTTTCCTCACTTCTCCTCACTAAAGTCTTCTCATTCTCTTTCCCACCATGCACCCTACAGGCATTTGTCTGAAATGTCAGTATTAAAATATAAAGCAAGTGAATTTGACACTCCAGAAATGACATAGAAACTAAAAACTTTCAAGAAATATATACCAAACAAAGACACTTTAAATAGATTTACTTTTTTCTGGTTCCATCTTACCAAAGATGGAAGAAAACATTAAAAAATAACGTAAAAGACAAATTCAGGCTTCCTATTATTATGTCAATGCCACTTTTCCCCTGCCAAAATTGAACATTTTTCTCTTGTCTTTTGAATTTCAAGACCATAGAGTTTGTAAAATCACAAGAGAAAAATAAAGTATATATTTTTCTGAAAAGTAAACATTTAAGAATTTCATTTTACCTAAAATCAGGATTTTGAAAAATCTTTTCTCAAATTTTCATTACTTTCATGACAGCCAATAGAATTCAACGACTATTTGAAGACAATAATTAGCAACTAAGAGATACACAGTTATTGATTTTTATCTTACGCCTCATCAAAGGCACATCATATGTTTCAAGCCAAAATATTTCCTGAAACCTTTTCATTTTTGTCCATTGACCACTGAATTTGAATGGTGTATAGAATAGAAACAAAGGAGGATGGCTAAAGATTTAGAGAGGTTTTTTTTTTTTGTTTTGTTTTTTTTTTACAATAATATTCACTTTATAAAAGGTCCAAAAGCCAGTCATAGGTACCTCCACTTAGTCACATAAAAAACAGAGCATAGCATGATGAAAAAAAGCTCCAAACTCAATGAAAACTAAGGTTTGTCATCAAAATGTTTATGTCATTATTAAGAGGAAAGACCAAAGTATTTTTTGAAATTTTTTACTCCTTTCCAACATGTTCGAAATTTTTTTTTTTATGACAGCGATGAACTCAAGAAAAAATTAGTTTTATTTTGTGCTTTTTCTGAGGAAAAACACATTGATTTGGAAATTCTTGTAAAATTCAAATAATTGTTGGAATTTAATGAAACTTTCAGGACATATTCAGAAATGAATGAAATTATTTGGGAATTTTTTTTTTTTTGGGGAAAATCTAGTTAAAAAATATTTTATTTATTTATTCATGTTTTTTTTACACATGTTACCACCCACCCACTTACTTACTTAATTTCATGAAATTTCAAGAAATGAAATTTTTAAGGTGGGGGGATTTTTTTTAATTATTAGTTAGAAACAGGACTCTTTGAAGAAAGTAAATCAATTTCTTTTTGTAAAACATTTACCCATTTGATCAAAAATCTGCTCTGAATTGTAAAAATAAAAAATTCAATAAAACTGTCATTATTTAATTAGAAAAGCTTTTAATTGCTTTTGTAAATTAAGGACACTATTGTCTGAAGAAATAAAAGATTTTTGATGAATAATGAATTTTTACAAGAATTTTTTCAATTTTTAAAATTTTAATTATAATAATATAATAGTTCAAAAATTGTTTAAAAGTCTTCATTGTTTTCAAGAATGCAATTTAGTGATATCGTTAAGTGAAAAGTAAATTTATGAATCGAAATTTGTAAAGCTCATAACAGTCGTTTGAACCTGAATATTTTTAAAATAATCTTAAAAATAATTTTTAGTGAAAAAAAAATACACCCCTAATTTCTATGAAGGTCACATGATTTAAGTGTCATCTGATGCACTGCAATTATTTCAGTTTTAATTCAGTTCTGTTTCATCATTAATGTTTTTGCAAATCATCCCTTCAAAATATCTAAAATAGTCTTACTTTTTTAATTGCTATGTCACTAAATATTTTTATTTTATGTATTTATTTTAGTTTGGGTCATACTTCAGTTAATTGATTTTTTGTTTAAGTTAGTAAACTTAAGAACCTAGAAACGAAATGCAAATTTCATAAAGCTTCTTAAAAACATAACTAAAGTCAATAAAATATCAAATAATTGCCGAAAATAAAAATTACTAGGTAGTTAAAAACTAAAAAAAAAAAAAAAATGGGTTCATTTAGTTTTTGTAAATATGTCATTTCTGGTCATCCATAAGAACTGTTATCACCTTGAGAGCTTCTCAGTAAATCAATAAAGATCAAAGAAAGAGGAACCCATCATTAAGAAATGCTTGTACATATTTTTTTATGCTATAAGTAAGTAATATTTATTTCAAATCAAATTAATTTAATTTTAAATTTTTTAATTTTACTCAAATAATGCGTCACAAATTTCCAATTTAATTTTGAAAGAATTTTAAACCCGATAAATTTGTTTGTCTACAAATTTCTTAGAAATTAAGAAAATGGCGACTTTTAAGAAAATTTTAAAAAATTGAGCAATTATTTGACATTCTAATCTATATCATTTCTATCTGAAATACACCAAAGTGTTTTACTTACCAGAAATAAAAATTTAATCATTTAGCTTTCAATTAAAACTAGAATGAAATCTTCAAGGATGCTTTTTCATTCTTAAAATTTAATTTTAAAACTTAGGTATCGAAAATTCAGTGGAGGTACCTAAAAGGTTACAGAGTAAAAGGCACAATTTATGGGGATATGCAGAGAAGATAATGGTTAACTCTAGATTTGAAGAGATTAAGATTGTAGTGATTAGGAGAGCTTGCTCTTGGGATTCGGTTCCACAAAGCAGAAAACAGGAAGTTATGAAGAGCCTTTATTGGCCACATTCTGAAATGATATAACATATGAAAGAAGAATACAGAAGTAATTGCTTAATGTGAGCAGAAAAAACATTTTCTTTTTAATTATAAAAAACAAAAATTATAATGAACCAAAATAAAAAGCTTTCTATTCTCTGTTGCTTTAATTCATTCAGTTTTTCATGTTAAATTAATTTCCTTTCATTAAAATAAATTTTTCCGTGTTTGTTTTTTAAAGATACAAGAAAGCTAAAATAAAACCAAAGTTTAACACTTCATATTGCATTTTATCTTTAGACATTGTTGCTTTTGTTCCCCGTATGCATTCATAGAATTGATACACTGCTTAACAGATTGGATTGTCTTTTGTAATTTACTACTTTGCCAACATTACAATTCTAATCTCAGCTTGCTTTTTATGGGAAATGAAAATGTGACAGTCCCAGGTTCATTACTAAACAACTTCTTTTTTTTTTATATTTTTATTATTATTATTATTATTATTATAATAACAACAACAATAATAATAATAATCTTATTATTATTATTATTTTTTTCTGCTAGCTGCTTTGGATTATTTTTTTTGTCTCTTTTTTTGCTCCCAGTTGTAAATTTCCATGAAAAATGTCACCCACACATTTGACATTTTGGTAATACTAATATTAGCCTTTTCCTTATAAGGAAACATTTGGCATTCATTGATCATGCAGCTTGTACTACTGGCAGTTGAAATTTGTAAAATCTTTCTCTTAAAACACTCTTTCAGGAAAATGGGTTTCTCATGTTCAGTAGCTGTTATTGCTCTTTCTAATATTGATGAGGGCTTCATTCCTAACTGTTTATTTAAAGTAGTGGGATATGTCAACATCTTGATTTTTTTTCACAGTAGGGTTCACCCTGTAGAAGGCCTGGGGCCTCTCAAGGTAGAGGATTATGTTAAGAGATAGTTTATATAGATAGGAGGAGAAGATAACGGTTAACTCTAGACTTGAACAGGTTAAGATTGTGATTGGGGAAACATCCTCTTAGGAATCTGTTTCACAGAGCAGTGGTTTGTGGGAAGAAGCTGTTTGAGTGGAATTTACTTCTTGCCAATGGAATTGGTTGCTATTGTGTCAGTGGCATGGCGGGTCCTAGCCCTGAAGGTTAGACGTGGCGGAACCAAGGAATATAGTTCATCCGAGTGATAGACCAGTGAGAGACTTACTACATCCCACCTGAGAGAGGTTGGAAAATAATTAATCACCCACAAGGACTCTGAGACACTTTTAAACTCAAGACTGGAAAGTGAGGACTGGGTAGCTCCCGTCCAAAAATGGCAACAGCATTCTATTTTCAGCCTGATTTTCTTTTCAAGTGACATGTGCTATCCATTTTAGCTGTTACTGCTGTTGGTAGTCCTCAAGTGATGTAGTATCTGTTATTTGGTACAGTTCTTTGTGATTCTGTAGCACCAGTACACTAGATTCATTGCTCAAAGCCATTTTTAACTATTGATCTTAGAAAGTGGTTGTATACTGCAGAGAGTTTAAATATTTCTGAAGGGATTTGGCACCACACACAACATTTATATGAACGTCTCAATCTGATGTTTATTTTAGAACATCTTGAGTTTTCTGGTTAATGTTTTGGTTTTGTAGCAATTTGTGGTGTTGAGCAAAACAACCTATATTGCAGAATATGTGAGATTCTCTCTAACTGATCTTCATTTTATAGGATCCATTGATTAATATTGATCCATTGACTGTATAATATGATCAACAATTCTTCAGAGTTCTCACCTGACAATATTTTTGTGTTGCAAAGTTTTCAAGATTTCCACTTCTTCTTGCACTTTTTGGTACTCCCGTTCTGCCTTTTCTCGGTCAGACACATCGAGCACAATCTGTTTGACGGCAATTTGTTCACCGTCACTTGTCAAGCCTCGCCAGACCTGGGCAAAAAGAAAACATTGACAGATATCAAGTTAAAATGCAAACACATTGAACAGTCTTAATCATTTGAGAACAGATGTAGAAATCTCAGAAGGAACCAATTGTAACGTCTGGTGTCTTTTTATTAATCAGATTAGTGTTTTAATGTTGCCACATTGCAGATAAACCTTTTTGTTATTGAAATTAAATCAATTTTGCTATAAAAATAAATTGAAAATTAACTGCTACAGAAATTGTTGGGTTGTATCAAAAGCATATTTGTCTTTTAATCTGCTTTTTGAAACTTATGTAATGTTTTATGTAAAGTATCTTCCAATGATCCATGTTCTGAAATTCTTTTTAG